GTTCAAAGATCTGGGATTTAAGCTACACTGGAGTAGTCGATAGCTCGCTCTGAAATCCTCCTTTGGCAGAGATTGTTCTCATAATACTGAAAGGAACTCGAATCTTATTTGGCCTATCGTGGCGTTGATGGTTCCCCAGTTCTTCTATTTCCATACAATTTGTCTTCAAAGTATTTGGATCCAAATTACACGATGCTAGTCATTTTTCCCATCTTCGTCTGACCCTTCAATTCTTTCTCTTCTACTATTATAGCCACATTACTTGCATACTGAGAAACTCGCAAACACTATTTCGGACATTTCCTGATGATGCGCTCCTAACTGCGCTAAAGGGTAGAGAAGGAAGCACAAACCCTTGATATAATACTTCTGCGGAATGACTTTGTGTTCCTGCCACAGTTTCAGCCCTGCATAATTTCATGATATTCTTATTTTCATCCTTTAAATGTAGCTTCTGCCATGTTTTCGCTTTCGTTTGATCTATGACATTAAGCGCCTTACTCGTGGCGTTTTCCATATCCGTAAAAACCACACGCAACTTCCCCTATTTTTTTATCACCATCTGTACAAAATGGATGACTTCTGCAGAACGGTAATCTGAAGAGTGACTACAATAGCTCAAAATCTTAGGACTATCACAAAGATCTTCAAAGTGCGCATCAACAGCCCAACTGGTTGTATGTTGTACTGCCTGCGATATCGCTTTGACCAGTCATGGGACATAGTCTTAATTTGAGGACCTGACTGAAAAGGCCTGCGAGAATGAAGCATCGGTTTACACTATTCGCAGAATCCCTCGGTGATCTGAACGGTAACCTTACTTCTTGTCTTTATAGCAAGTCATACTTTCTCTGCTGCTACGAGTAGCAAGGCCTTTTCTTTCTGTCTTCAAAGTAAGCTTTTGTAGTCTGCTCCGTTCTTTTGCAGACTCTGCTTTACTTGGAGATTCAGGAGTCTTTCGCTCTTTCATAAGATCTTGCTTCTCGTGACTCCCTTTGTATGCGTACTCTACTTTTTGGCACAACAGTTCTTTGCACCGTGTTTACTTTGCGACTAAAATTTGTACCATTAATTGTATGCGTGCATCGTAAGCTTCAATGTCTGGTACTTGTCCATATCATCCATCGTCCCAAGATTGATCATGTTTAAGAGCGTCTTCGAGCTCTTGGATAGTTGTCTTTAATAAACTAGCTTAATCGTCTCCGCTCATAAAAAGTTTGTATTTCTGTACTGCTTCATTATTTCAAAGTTTTACTAATATGAAATGCTCAAAATGTGTAGTGCGGTAGCTTCTAAGCTCTGGTCATTCTGCTGCAAGAGTCTACTTATTATGATTTCGGACGCGAAATTGCCACGTCATGTTAGGTGGCGAGATGGCGCGCGAAGTGTGCGTTATTGTGACTCATTCTCGTAGACTGTCTCCTCGTTCTATTTCCCACTAACTCGCCATTATAATCCACATCTTGTCTACGCAAGGTTTTTGTGTTGAAGGATAGGCGTATCCCTACGTCTGGCTGCAGAAAAATCGGGGGTCTTATTTCTGTGTTATTTATGGGAATTATATAGATATTAGGAGGTTTCAAAGAAGTCATTATGTAGGAATAGCAATCAAAGGAGCATCATCACTTTATTACTGCTAAATGAGTTTGTGTATAAAAAGTTTTGAAATGTTTTTTTTT